CACGTGCATCCGTGTATGTCTGTGATTGTCTATACATTCATGTGCGTTGATACTGTACGTGCCTGCCGGTGCCAGCCTGAGGACGCAGGAGCCAGAGGACCCCCTGGATTTTGAGTTTGGGGGGTCCGACGCAGACGAGGACAGGCAGACCCCCAACAAGGTGATCTTGAAGGCAGAGGGGCTGAAGGAGGCGTTCGCCGACTTAGAGCTGAGCTCGTCCGGCGCTGAGGTGTCTGTCCACATCACCATGTCCCCCGCTCGGCCACACTTCCGGTGAGCTGCCTCTCCACGCTCTCCAGTTACCTCCTTGCACAAGCCAGACACTTACTGCAGGAATGTGCCAAAAGTCAAAATGAAGGATCCTCTTGAAAAAGACCCTTACAATTCAGCGAGGCGTTCATGGCTTAAGGGCATTCTAGACTTGAAGCTTTCGTGACTGCAAGGATTCATACTCTTTGGCTTTTTCGGTAAAGTCACGTAGGTAAAATAAAATAAATGTTTTCATTATCAGAATATTTATACTGGAGGAATCTGATGACCTATGAAGTTATTTTTCACACATGTCCAGTATGGGCGGATCAGCAAGTTTATATGGGACAGTACAGAAACCGTCCTCTGCGACAACAGGACTTTTGATGTTTCTATTACCATGGGCAATGCGGACTCCGCCAGTGCAGTACTGGACCAGGAGGCGTGTAATAATACTTGTCTTTATTCGATTATTTGGGGTCACAGTTCCATTCATTGATTCTTTTGCCATCCCTTGTGTTAAAATCTCTAGTGGCTGTAGGTTTGACATGAACCAATTACATTCTTACAGGCATGATTGAATGTGTATTGTATAAGAATCGATTTTAATGAATGAATCGATGAATCAGTACATGCTTTGTAAACAGAGGGATTCAGCACTCCACTGATGCAATGAATTATCATTATTCCATCCCATTTTAGTCTACGTTTTACAATCTGTGTATATTTTTGCTGTCTTCGCATGATGCATAAGAATTTAGTTTAATAATTAAATCCATACATCGTTACGTGCCTAGACGGCTAGCACTGGCCAAGAGCAGCATCAGGGCCCATATCTGTGTCCCCGAGTTCTTTGGCCATGAAGCTCCATGGGCTGTGCTTGTATCCGTAAAGTAATATATGTCCTTGCTTGTCCCTGTGTGCATCCATGTATATCTGTTTGTCCACCCTTATTTGTTTTTTCTGTCTCAGGCTGTCCACGTTCGGACCGCTGGGAAGCACGCACTGCGACTTTCCCAGAGACTCGGACATGGTGGAGTCCTTCCACTGCACCAAGGCACAGACGAACCAGTACAGTACCGTTCATGCTTACTCCAGACTTATCACACTCACTAATTGCCCTCATCACACTCATAACATGTACATACTCATTACTAACCTTTAACACACTACCAATCCCAATTCTGTTTGTCTATTGACTATCATCCTGTCTGACCTCTGCTGGCGGCTGGACAATAGGAATCTATCGGCCAGTTATTACTCTTAACTACTCGTATACGACCGACTCTTATCACACCAGAAACAAGTACACATACGACTGCCTATCCTCATCGCATTACCAAACCCCAGGCATTCACTTCAGTAGTTATACTAAATAAATTTAACAACACACAAAGGTGCCCTCACAAACAACAGGAAGGCACATCTGCCATCTGTTTCCAGCCTGCATTTCACCGTCGTAATGCGTTTTTTCTCATAATTTAAACAAAAGTATTAGATTTGAGTTATAGTAATTGTTTTATGGGTTATTTCTCAAGTAGCTTTTTTCAGATATCAACTACGTTATGGAGCGTGCATTTTTGTTCTCATCTGTTGTACTTAAAAAAAACGTGGTTTCTTTGTTTTTAAAAGGTACAAGGCATCGTTCTTGAAACCAAGTGCGAAGGCTTTGTCCCAGGCAAGCAAGGTATCTGTGCGCATGGACTGGCGGGGTCTCCTATCGCTGCAGTTCATGATCCCAAATGACGGGGAGGTGAGAAGGGATACAGCTCTCGTGAGCGCCGTTACCAGATTGCTTAATACATAGTGACGTTTGCACGGTTGGCTATGTATGGTACGAAATAAGTAAAACATAGTATTTTATTATGTATGTTTATTTCCACCATGTAAAGTCACTTTTAAGTCTTTCAAATTTGAGCTTCCTAGAACGCACTCTGATCATGACACAAAGTCAAAACAGAAGTGGGCTATGTGTACACCAAAACAATTCTGGTGAAAACAACTCAGGATCATATTATGGCGCAATAAATTGCTGTTTAATGTTTACATCGTGACAGACATTTCTGACATATATAATAAGAAAACATGGTTCTCCTGGGTACGTCTTTAATTCATCAGCTATGAAGCAAAAACATTTTTATTTCTTAAATTGTTGCCATGGCAGCAAACAGCCATGGAAAATGATTCGACTTCAATGGGTGCTTCATGAGGGCACCAAGATTGCTATATGGCAGTCGGCAAGCTATTGTAGTCCCCATAATTTTTATTTGCCAAATAGTAAAATGAAAATGTGTGCGGGTTCGTTTGTCATTAGTGACTGAGTTGATATGACCAAACTCATTAGACAGAGTAGCATGAATTAGTAATCTTTTTGTGGGTGAGAGTCCGAGGCTCAAGTCAGGACTTCAGCACTGCCGACTTCTAATATGAGCCCCATAAGTCATCCTGCCATCTGTTAGATTCCCATAGATTCTGGACATCACAAGCTTCCATCCCTGGGTGTCCACTGAATGTAATTCATGTGAGTTGACCTTAGTGGTGAAGGTATAAATCCTTCCGTAACCAATCTGTTACAAGGCAATTGTTGGCACCTTGTGAATGACAATGTATCTTTTTGCAGGTCAGCTTTGTCGAGTACTACTGCTGTCCTGATGATGTGCAGGAAGAGGAGGATGATGATGATGAAGTCAATAGTGACGACAGTTAAAGTACCTGCTTTTAGAAGAACCACGGTGTATTCATAACCCATGTTCTTTAGAAATTTCAAACAAGACTAACAGGACTGGTCTTTAAAGGGGTTTTTAGACAAAAGCCTGACATAGCAGTCTCTTAAGGAGTCTTTAAGATGGACTGACAAGACTTGTCGCTCTTGCAATCTGTAGACAACTGCCTCTGTCAGTTAAGTTGGCAAATCAGTCTGAGTATATTTTACTGTTTACTAGGTTTTCCACACAGTCTGTAATGAGAAGCTTCATATGAGCCTGTATCAGTTCCCTCTTGTTAACGTACGCTATTGACATGTTTATGCTGCGTTTTCTCGTGCAGTAATTTGGTCACCAGAATAAATACAAAGTTTATCACTTTCTTAGCTCACCTCTTGCATGCGTTAAAATATTGTCCATAAATGAATAGAATTTGCTGCAGTCATTACTACATGCCAGCAATGTATTGATTTGTGGTGGGCTAACCCTAGGTAACTTTAAAAAAATGGTCACCTGTATTATTGTTCGGTGTATAAGTTGACAGAAAACCATTACAACCCTGCTGCAGTGGTTCAAATTCCAGTTGTGACATTGGTATCGTTATATTTTCAGTTACAACTTTGTGAAACCTTAAGCTTCATGTCCCAGAAGTTCTTCTGAAGGCACTTCAATAGGCCTCTATTTACGGTGGATGGTTCATGCCTTTTAACTTAAAGTGTGTAAATATGTAATAAAACAATATAGATGCAACTTGTGAATCTTGTAATTTTCTGCGTGGGTGAAAGATGTATATGAGAGCATGGGGCTGGGAGAGTAACCTTTGTGCTCAACAGGGTAGGTGCAGTGTGGTGACCAAGGATGATGCAGTTCGTCAATTTTGTTCTTATGCTCAGTCCCTGAGTTACATCATGTAAGAATACGTGTTTTTTTTAGTTTACACCATCCCTGAAGCCACAAGTCACGAAACACTGCACTATGAAGACTACAGTAATTGATTCTACTTGTACAGCGGTCCCCACTTTTACAATGTTTCTGAAAACCCCCGTTGTAAATCAGACCCTATTTTCCCATAGACCGTAGAAACAGAAATATATGTTGACGATGTGGTGTTTTCCTTTGATCAGCCATATTCAACAAGGTTAAATAGGTACAAAAACACTTCAGAACAAAAGCTCCACGCCAAATTACATTTCAAACCAGCCTATTCAAATGTGTTTGGAGTCATGTCGGAAGATGTCGTAAATCAATCCATGGCATAATGGTAAATGTGGATCGTCGTAAACCGGAGACCCTGTATTTGAAAGATGTGCAAAATACTTGCGTTTTTAAAAACCAAATATTTCAATGAAATAAATCAGGTGTTTTTGTACTGTAATGCAGCAGTGGAGGCAGGAAATTGTGAAACCGCTGGAACCTTGCTCAAGGTTCAAGAGCGCTCCAGTGACCTCGGCTTCCGTGACCCCAACTCCAGGGAATACAGAAAACTGGCAAACTGCTCTAACTGCAGGGCTTCGGAGCTTGGCCAAATTTAATATGGTGCAAAATGTTTTTTTGTGGTATTGTCCCCCTTAAGGCATCCTCTTGTGTCCATTTACTGAACCATAATATGGAGCCCCTTGCCATAGCTAAATGTCTCTGGGTGAAGATGTAAATCCCGGTGGTGAGGCATTTATCTACATCGTCTGGTTTGCAGGTTTTGGGTTTGATCCCAGCTTCGACGCCTGTATATTTGGAGTTTGCATGTTCTTCCCTGTTGTCGTTTTATATATATATATTTTCCTCAATCCTCCGGTTTTCACCTCTACATTTAGAAACAGGTGTTTGGGAGTATTTGGCTGCTATAAATAGGCACGAACCACTTCATTGAGCCATCTTTTTTGCCAGGTCGCTTCCAAAAGATACTTGTACAGCTCGGTGGGCCTTACCTGGTAAAATAAAAAACGTGTAGCTTAGAATTTCACCCTTTATCCAGAGATGAGATTTTTTTTGCAGTGAAAATGTCTGAACCAGGTGACCATCCAATACAGAAAGAACCCTTGCATCGGCCAATACAAAGACTTCGTTTTATTGGGGTGCCAGTTTGATGTGCTCACCAATTTCCTCTTAGCTGTAAACTACAGCCCTACAGGGGATGGATATTAGTTTGGGAATGACTACTAATGTGACCAGTTTTAATATCCAACAGTGTGTGGGTTCATGTGACAATACAAACGCGACACAAATGCACAACACTTTAATTCTTCAAAATATAACCGGCATTTTCATGGGGGTTCCCCCACGTTTTTAATATGCATTATTTTAGCAAAGGCTTCTATACAATATCTTTTCAAAATACATATTTACTACATCCATTGTTTTTTTTAATCCCTTTTTAGCAGTCAAAAACATGACTTATTATTTACATAATTTGCCCACTTTTAAACTTTAAAACCCTGTCTGGTAAAACTGAGCCCTGTGTGATGCTGTTTGTAAATTCGTACCTATATACTGCATTTCAACCACCCATACGGCAATGGTAAGAACGCTTCATTCGGAACCGTGTTCAAATCCTGCTTGGTGCTTGACTCACCCCATATTCCTACTGGGATTGACAGTAACTATAACTTTGCGAAGCCAGCAGTTGGCTCTCCTATTGTCCTGTCATAGCAATTTCTACCACAGGCTCAGGGCTGCCAATGATGATGAGCACTACTTCAAGGTTGTGTGAGCAAGGATACCCTTTGACTTGTGTAATATTTAGGGCCCAATTACCATCTGAATAGAAATTTGTCAGATGTTTTTTGGTGAAAATGTGCCAATGTTAATTATCAAAAATGGGAAAATTGGCACTGTTTTTGAGTTCATATTAATCTGGCACAACAGAATGTGCACAATGAAGTATAGTCTTGTGTATAAACCTGTGACTCAAAGCTATGACTTTTAATTGAGCCAGAGGGTCCCAAAGGGTCCCATTTGAGCACTGTACTACAAACCTTAACATTTGCAGCCTTATACACCGACAGCTTGTAATCTTATGAGTAATAATGTGATAACAGTTGAGCATCAGGGCTTCAAATCCTGAATTGAGATGACCAAATGTTGATTTAACCCCATCATCATTCCCCAAGGGATTGATTCAGTGATCTGGTATCAGAGGCTTCACCGCTTTAAACAGGGATGACGGAGCAGTGGCTGTCGTCTTTATACTCCCTGCTGCCAGTCGTGGAATTTTCACCACCGACCAAGAATGGCAAGAAGGCCATTCTGCCCAATGAGATACTTTGCCTTTAAATCATAATAAATAATGTCATATGAGTGACTAACCGTAACTATAATAGTAACAGCAATAATAACAGGAATACTAGTATTTTAAAATACATTTGGTTTTGTATTGCGACACTCAACAGCTTGCATAGATTTTTTTGTTTGTTCTTGCAACAATGATGGGGGGAGGCAACACACACCAAGCACTTGGGAGGGACAAACTGATTCTCCAGTCTAGTGTAAAAAAAATGTATGTTCATGTCCAATTTAAAACGAATTAACAGTGAGTGGAGTCAGCAAGGGTGGCTCTGCCTCTCAGGGCACTCAATGGCCATGTTAGGAACAGGGAGTCGTAAGTTTAATTCAGTCAACCCTGCCTCTCAGCTCATTTGAAAGATACATCACACTTACCAACCCCAGAGGGTTCAACACATTCTATGAGACTGAGCGAAAAAGTTTGGGGAAAACCCAAGAAACTGAGGGAAACCAAGAAACTGAGACACAGAAATGTGACTGCAAGGGCGAGTACACTTTGAGAAAATTTGGGGGGGGTGTTACTAAATGAGTTTCCATAGTAGCAATACGCTAATGTGCACTACTTCGTGAACACTCCCATAGTAAATTAAATAACCTTTAATAGTTATTACTTTCCTGACTCTCTCAGAAAAGGCTCTTTGTAAAGACAACTTTTGAGCTGACCCTTACATACGACCTGAACCATCAGCAGCCGCCAGTGAGGCACTGCAATAAATTGGACTGAGTATTAATTTCAGGTAAACAAAACATGTGAGAATCCATTGCAAGGCCGTGAGACACTCAACATTGTGAAAAACCGGAGTCTCAAGGGGAAGCCTCGAGTCTCCTTGAGAGTTGACATGAGACATGGAGAGAACCACACCTCCACATAGCTGAAGCGAGTGCAACCCAGCAGTGGTAGACCCATGAAGGCTGTTTTTGACAGAAGCATGAAGTACAGTGGTTGTCCACTGCAGATGCCTGTGATGTCACTACTACGGATAACTGTGAACACCTCAGACATCTAGCCATGTAGATTGAACCAAGGACCTCCAATGTGCTGCTTCAGCGCTTCCAATACAGCCATTAGGAACCACCTGACAAAGAGGGAGATATGCAGCTTCATTCATTGAGCCTAGGAAAGCAGGTGTTGATCTTAGCGCTCCAACATGGCCATTAAGAAGCTTCTCGAGCCACCTGGTCACCTCTCCGAGGCAGCGTTACAAGGGCCCTGGGGATCGGGTGAAATGCGTCTGGGATCGAACATTTGCGATGACAGAGCAGCGACGAGAGCGACAACACCATGACGACCGGGAAGACACAATGTACAAACACACGTGTTTTACAAGACTCGTGTATGTGTGTGTGTGGGTACGTGTTATTAAGTATAAGCGGGTTACGTGTATACTATGTGTACGTATCTGAATGCGAATTAACCAATTTGTGCATGTGGTAGTGTAAAATATTTATGCGTGTATGACTATGTACATGTGTGTGTGTGTGTGTCAATGAGATTACAGTATATACATGTATGCATGTTTGTGTACGTGTAAATGAAATGTCATGTGTGTATCAAATGCAATGCACAACCATCCTGACATACCAGTTTGATTTCAGGAACCGTGGTATAGGAATCAAATTTGGTCTGGGCCTACCTTAACTTGACTCGGTCGACAATGACTGCATCTGGTGCAGCGTATGAACATCATAACGAGATATAAAGGTGGCCAGGCATGTACGAGTGCTGGCTCGCACACCTTTTCATGTTATGGTGACCTTAATAGGTACTCGCTAACAGCACTGGCTCCAACAGTCTATGGTTAAATAGGGATCTTTGTTATGTGCAGTAGCAGAGGCATAGCGGTTTGTGCAATAGACTGCAATCCCAGATGAACCTGGGTTCAATTCTTGATCATGATGCAGATTTTGCAGTTGGTAAGTGAACTGGGCATGAGTCTCTCCCCTAGGTTATCTCAGCCTAAACTAAATACCTGGGGCCTTGAGAATATCTGCGTGGGAGATAATGGTTGTTGGTTGTGCGTGGCGCTAGTCACACCGAATCCTTCCCGTGTAATGCTGTCCTTTAACAGACACTTGCAAACTCGTGATTGCCACAACGGTCAATCCTGAACAAATTGGGGATTTTTGTTAATATAGTTTTAAATATAAATGCAGAAAGTGTGCTGGTCAAAGTGTCAACTTTTATTTTCCTTTAAGCAAAAAAATAGTTCCCTTTTTTAAAAAAATGTTTTAATAACACTATATATGTACGTATGTACACCCTTGTGTATTCATGAGTGGGTATGCTATTCAACGAATGTGATTGCGTGTGAACCAGTGTCACATTGTATGTGTATATGCCTGTATGCACGTGAGCATATATGCGTAAACAGATTTACGAGCGGATGTGCGAGTCCATATATTAGTGCTTGAGTGTGTATGCATGGTTGTGCATGGTGTGCTTGAGTGTGTGCAGACTAAACCTCACGCAGGTGCTGTAGTGGTGTCACCACCTCTAAGTTTGTTGCATTTGTGTGTACTCGAGCACCCAATTGTATCTGCATCTCTGTGTGTCTATGCATCTATGTCTTCCCACATATCTATCTGCATGTTTGCATGCATCTCTGTGTACACAATGAGTATAAGGCTGCATGTGCATCTCTGCCTTTGTGTGTGATAAAAATGTGCTCATCTGTGTGTATCACTGTGTGCACATCTGAATGTGTCTATGCATCTGTCTGCATATGTGTGCGCATAAGTTTATACTGTGCATGCATCTGTGCGCGTTTGTGTGTTCCAGCTGTCTGTGCGCATCTGTAATTGTGCACATCTGTGAATTCCTGTGCATCCCTGTGTATGTATCTACGTGCACCTTAAATGGCACAAGCGCCGTGGTGACGTTACCGCCACTTCGCGGTGAAAGGCAGTTGTTGTTACGTGTCTATACCGTGTGCATGCGCTTGTCCATGTGTATGCAGGTTTATGTGTGTGTGTGTGTGCACGCAAGCACATTTTGCGCTACTGACAGATGCCACTTTGCTCCAGGCAGGTGGAGCGGGGCCCAGCCTCTGCCAGGTACAGCTTCCCATTGGGGCATGAACAAACCTCGTACACGGGGCCCCCCGCACCTCCCACTGCCCCTCCTGACCCCCTTGTGCCCTCGGGCAATTTCGGCAGAAGCACACGTGCAGCGTCGAGCACCACCTGTCACAAGCAACACGTGCCCACCACGGTCAGCCAGGCAAATCCTTCCTCCAGCGTACCTCGCTTGACCCGGCGAACCCCCATTCAATTTGTGTATTACCAATAATTTTAAATGAGTGCCTGTTAATATTACACAGGTGAGGACCCAGCAAGATGCTGTGTCTGATCATGTATTTTGCAGATATGCACCTAGAATATGCCTCGAGGCCATCAGGCCTGAGTTTAAAACTTAATTCATGGGGTGGGAGGGGGGGAATGGGAAACACCTTAAAATCGTTTACATACACAATTTAGTAACATTATTTTGTATGACTGCGCCCTCTTTCATGTGATGTTGCAGCACTGACATCACATGATTGAGCTCCTTAAAGGCTATTTCAAAGCTTTAAAACCTTTGCTGGACAGCGTGGGACACAGCCTAGGCCACACAGTCTGCGACTCAGCCCATTTACTTAGCTACATGAGCTGTTTAGCTGCATTTCCTTTAACGAGGTGAGACCTCTTAACCCGATCATAACCCAATTAATATTGAATATTCATAATTATACTTTCATATAATTAAATTCCGTATCTTCATCCACATCCACTATTAGTCTTAACCTGATGCCATGCAGACAGAGGTGTGCACGTGCCTACTTGTGCACACGTGTACACATGCAATAACATTTGGATTGATATAGAATCTAAATGCAACTGCATATCAAGACACTGCATAAAACAGTGGAACTTGTGCATCACGGAGAGATTGAGGCGTATATATGTCATGTATAATGTCTAGAAAGACAGTCAAGCATAGGCAGAGCAGAAATGCAAAGGTCTCAAGCCTGGAACAGAGGCAGCACAGATGGCTGGGTCAAGGCAGTTGCAGACCAAACGGGCAGCTGACAGCAAACTCTCACTGAAAGAATGTTGACTTGGGGCTTCGAGGGAATGCCATGGGCTGCTGGAGCACAGAGCGGTGGGGGCATGGTGCTGGTCACCGAACGCCTCGTGTGCCGTGTCGGCCTTCATAGGTATTCGCAAATAGCACTTGCCCCAGAAGTGTGTTATTGCTATAAGAGGTGTGTTTGTCTTGTACGTACCGAGCCTTCTGTGGACTGCAAGGTGATGTCCGTTCGACACATTGCCTCGAGCCCGCCCGCCTCGGCCCGGATGCTAACTCCCTTGGGTGCGTCCATGGTCAGAGACCTCGTCGGGGCCTCCAGCCTGAGGCAAGGGGGTGACACCATTATTGCAGCATTGTGGGGAACATCGATGTCGTGACAACATGTGAAGAAGCATTCAATTGGCCTTTGGTATTTCTATATTTTATCAATTGAGTTTTCAGTTAAGATTAATTAATTTTCAATGCGTTATCTCTAGGTTTATTAAACTGAGATTGGGTAATTGAAGATTTTTTTACTTGAGATATAAGTTTGTTAAAAGTATATATTGAATTAACAAGTGTTTATTAAATCTAGATGTGTTAAATTGAGATGTTAATTCAAGATCCAATTAATTGAGATTTAGTAGATTAAAGTTGAACAGATCAATATTCGTTCAACACGTTCATTAAATCCAATCACTAAATGTATCATCTTTAGATGAAGGCCCATTCTTTCAAAGTTTCATTGTCAACTCCTGCCACCTCATCACGCTCGTACTTGAGTTCTTTGAAGGCCTCCGCTCTGATCTGCGGTGTCTGTACCGAGTGCTCGAAGATGGCTCCTTCGGCCCCTGGGGAGCAGGGTGTGTAGGGAAAGGGAGCAGTGTGAATGACGTGACACATGCAACTCATTCACGCATGCACGTAGCGTCGGCACTCACTGAATTTACATCACAATTGCAAGAGGCCTTTATCTCGTCTGAAAGGGAGATCCCAGCATTGGCAATGGTGTTTAAACACAAGCTGTTGGCCGTTCCATGCATGGCATCATTTCCAAGAGCATATATGTACATGCATATCAAATTGATACAATGTTGAAGAGCCTTACTTTCCAAAACAGAATCTCCATGGTGCATCCTTTTATTTAAGAGTATAATGATGTGATACGGCTTCTCAACGCTTCCTGGTTACAATGTTGTAAGCTGTCTTTTCAAGTGTGATATATGGTTTTAACCATGACAAGGAATGAAGAGTAAAGTATTCGTCTCACATTACAGCGACATACTGCAGGTGCCCTTATCCCTGCACGCATATATTCATGCCTTCTAGTCTTGCCCAGATATCCAACATTTAGGAGCCATTCAATACAATTTTAAACCTAGTTGAAGCTGTCTTCTCTTAAATTATGTCTGTTGGGTAAAGACCCGCAGGAACTAACTTATTTCAAGGTATTGTTTTTCTTCATGTTTATTTTAAAACAGCCAAATTTGTAATCTTTCATCGCCGGCAGCAACGGCAGCCTCCCTCCATTGCATTCTGATGCAAACACAATGTATGCAATTGATGCATTGGAACGTTGAAGCTGTAGGGCAGTTAATGTATGAGTGTATGCTGAACTTCTTTCGCACCATATGTAGCCGACCAATCGGAGGTGCAGGGGAACGACAACAAATTATACACAAAAATCAGTTCCAAATAAATCATTTTCAATCTCAATTTAAAAGTGCATAGCTCCAGTGGCTTCCTAATATCGTCAGGAAGAGCGGTCCAGACAACTGCAGAAGCGCATCTGAAAGCACGCGATGCGGTGACCGTCTTTGTTCGACGGTGAGCCCAAAATCACTGCGATGATGACTGGAGTTTGCGTGATGGTTCATGCTCCTTGACGAGTCAAGAAGCATGGCATTATGTTACCGGCTTGCCATTCACCCCTTCGCCTCCCTTTCCACATCTAAGATAACTTAACTTCAGAAAGCCCTGTTTGTCTGCTTGCACATTAAATCAATCCCATTGATCCCCACTCTCTTCCACTGTCTACTGACATCAACTTTTGTTTTCCATTTTTTAAGAAGTATTTTTTCATGAGAATGTTGCATTGACAATTTTTGAACATCTGAACTATACACACCTATTGACACATGCCATGCTGCTTTCGTGAAAAGCAGAATCTTTATTTATACAGGGGGAATATGATTAACTATGAAGCTCTTTTTCATAGGTGTCTAAAGCTATGAATTGAATCGGTCTTCTGGTGCTGCTTTCATGCTCCTACTGCTTGGTATGGTATCTTCAATCATGTTTGTTTGTTCTCCGATTTTCACCCTCTGTTTAATCATAATAGAGTTTGGAGTATGCTATATTATGTTTGGAATCTGTCTCTTTTTTATATAATTCCTCTAAGCTTGTCTCTTTATGTTTTCAGATAATTTGTACTTTTACGCTAATTAGTGGTGAAACATTTCATTACGTTATACCTCTGAGCAACTGCATTTGCTACTGAAATCGGCTACCTCCTAGGTTAGAATAATGATGTCAGTGTTGTATTTGCCTGTAGCTTTGCCCTCTTGTTAGCTACGCTTAAGTGCAACTTGCATCAAACTGGTCTGACTGTTTCCTGTGTTGATTGTATTGGGGACAGACATGTCTGACAAAATATGGATTTGCCCATTGGAATAATGTTAGTCTCATTTAAAATTTTCACCATTTGGACTTCTCCGCTTCTTTTTCCTAGTCTTTGCTGGCTGCAAACCGTCATTGCTCACTCCATTGGCAATTTTACCAAATTACCATCTCGTCTCTGCACATTTGCATCATCGTCACCCAATGCAATACTCTTTGGGTCTTTCGGTGAAGTCACGTAGGTAGAAAAATAACAGATCACGACGTTGCGATAGCAACACAAGCCATCGTCCTCAGGTGAAACAATACAGCAGGCGGACTGCTGAGGCAATGTAGCGAGAGAGCTACTGCCACCAGAGGTTACAGACGTTTGTGGTGGGGGTACACCCAAGGGTAAGTGGGCGGGGCCAGGGACGAAATTTGTCAGTAAATGTAAGGCTCGCAAACAGAAGGCTAGCAAGCGTCAGCTAACACGAACGGAGGGACGGAGGGGAGGGGCTGCCATAACGAGCGAGCGGGTGGGGATGCAATTCACAGAGGGGTCGGTGGCAGGAGGAGAGAGAGGGGGGTGGGGCAGAGCAAGAAAGTGGGGCTGCGCGTGAGGTAAGGGGGAGAGAGAGGGGGGGAGGGCAGCAGGAGGAGAGAGGGGGGTGGGGCATAGATAATCGGTGGCAGGGGGAGAGAAAAGCTGTGCTGGTGAATGTGACTCAGAGAGCCGAGAGAAGCTGCTAACATAAGCGGGCAGGAAGGGGACATCACAGCCAGTTATGACCTAAACTGGTTAATAACGTCCTTCCAATGATTATTCAGTTTGTGCCCATCTTCTCGGTTAAAATTGTGTCTGTGTTTATATATCTGGATGGCTTCAAGGACAAATCTTTTATGGTAGCCCGAAGGTTTTCAGAGTACCTTGGTCTCGGAAAAAACAATATCATGTGAGCCCACCGCGTTAAAACAGTGATCAGCCATGGCAGGTGTTGGTTCTGCCGTGTTTCAAATCTGCCTTGTGTTCGCAAACACGGTCCAAGACATGTCGTTTCGTTTCCCCTATGCAACTGCTACCGCAGACACAACTTAGTTTGTAGACACCAGGGTATTGCATGTCAGGAATCACATCCTTCACAGATGGGATCAAATCACGGATTTTGTGTACTGTGTTGAATCGAACCTGGATCTTGTGTTTGTTCAAGATTTTGGAAATATTTTTGGTAACACCTGCTATGTATGGCAAGGTGATGGTTTTGATTGGGTCCTCAGATGAGGATACAGCTTTGCGGATTGTGAAGTCTGAATATCCATTCATCTTGAGGGCTTGGTGTACGTGCTCAAGCTCACTGGCTAGGTAGTGCTGGTCGGAGATGCAACGTTACAATGTTTATATACATGTTAACCTAATTTTAACAGTTTGTTAATGTTGGTACAAATATGGTGTACTTCATCATCAAAGCTTGTTGTTGGAGAATGTATTTTAATTCTCTTTAACGTGAAGTCATTCTAGAGCCTGATTGTTCATTGGACAGCTCTTTCCAATGTACTCTTGAAATAAAAATAAATCTATATTTGATCACCGAAGAGACGAAGAATCCCAATAATTATTGTCACTCTTCCTCTACGATAGGAAAGGTTGCTAATGTTCAGAAGTAGTATAAAGTTTTTTTTTCGTTGGGTTAGATCGCGTAAATATAAATGTGTCGCTAAGCCACCACCACTCGACACAGCCAATTGTTAAGGTGAGTAAACCCACAACATTTACTATTGGAGTACGACGTTTTGCCGGTGAATACAACCAGCTTCATCAGGCGATTTGCCAGAATTGTGGAAGTATCTCCTTGTATGCAAATATTATATATACACCAAGCACGGTGATCCATTTTAGTGGATCTCAACAGGCTCCACTTCATTGACATAAAGTACGAGTCCCATCTATTGGTAGAAGTTGTTTTTTTATGTATTCATTTTTAGTTGGGGATGTTTATTTGTCATCAGCCAGAACGAGAATTATTGTCTGCTGATGTCAGTGTTCTGATGAGTCCCGAATTCCACAAAACATCTTTTGCGATCCACCCGTGAATCACGATCCACAAGTTGGCCACCAGTGCACCATTAGATGTGTGTATAATAGCAAAATGAACATTTTCTTCTATGTTGAATCAACACCTACACGGTGACGTGTCTGGTCTCCATACCCAACACCATTTACCCCTTGTGCCTTTCCCCCCACATTTCTTTGTGCTTTACATGGCTCCATGTCTCTCCATGACCCCTTGTCTCCCTGTGTCCCCTTGTATTCCCTTGTCCTTCTTTACTCCCCTGTCTCCTCATGTCCCTCATATCCATGTAATCCATGTCTCCAAGTCTTAGAGTATCTCCTTAAGACTCCTGCGTCTCTCCATACCCCTCTGTATCCATTTGTCCCACTGTCTTTGCATGTCTCGTCTTCCTCCCCTGTGTCTCCCCATGTCCTTGTCCTTACCGGTAACCCGTAGGCGGTCGGCCCCGACCACCACCTCGTCATCAGAGGCCACAAACAGAGGTCGGCCCTGGGGCGAGGTGATCTCGAAACGTGAGCCCTCATAGTGAAGCGCATCCGCTCCTGAACAACCACACCGTCGTCGCATGGCATAGCCGACATCGTCATCAATGTACAGCCTAGCCAACTTCAACACAACATCATCATGACATGGCATAACCAATAGCATCAACATTATCACATGACAGACATCATCATCACATGGCATCTATAAATACACAACACACATAAATCATCATCATTGCAGGAAACGGCCAGCATCACTCTTGTCACTATTTTGTACAAGTGTAGCGGGTATAAATTGACGAATAAACTTCTGATGAGGCAACACGATATTTATTGTCTTTCTTACAAGTCCCTAACACAAAGGGTATATCGGTCCCTTTACCCAATACCTGGGGAGGTATGGCCTCCGGACTATACGGGTCCTATCACTGGGTACCCCGTTGCCCTTCGTCCTCCGGCTGGGGCCCTAGGGGAGGCTATATGACCCAACCGTACCCGGTCCGTGGGTCCTGACCACTGGCCTCACTGAGCTCCAGCCCTTAGAAGGATATCGGAGCTTGGGGTCCAGGGTCTTATCTTCAGCCCAGGTCTTCGTTCTTCAGCTTGCAGATGACTGAGCCAGACCTCTGAGAGGTCCGGCTTATATACTGGTTCATGGCTTGCTCCACCCTAGCCACGCCTCCCTACTAGAACTTTCTGGAAGGTGACATCATCCCCCGGTTCCCCCTCCCGGGGCCCCGGGGAATGTGTCCCAAGATCCGTTTGCTAGGGTTTGTCGTTGGCCCCTTTTTGGGCCATGGACATTAACCCTGGCGTGGTAGCGCTTCCGCCCCCTATCGACAATAAGGGGAAACTACCAGCCCACAGAGTGGTGAGTGACGATTACCCCTACACAAGCACAACTCTTTGTCAATCCACTGCTGATGATGGCCACCCAGCATAGTGCCAATCCTGGGGGATATTTAACCACACTGCACCATGCCAGTTGGTAACAGTGGAGACTATAGATGTGGGAGAATAGCAGTAAAGCACAGCAATAGATGTTTCTGCACTGCTCTCTGCTTCCCACAATATAACCCCACAGCCTATAACAACCAGCTGCACATGGTGGACACCGTATCCAGGCAATATCCAGGCTCAATACCGCTTAGCTTTTGAGATCTGATGAGGTAGGGCACTCATTCCGGGTGATTTGATTACCAACTACAACTGTAATTACGAATACAAACTCTGTCAATGTCACAAATATCAGTAAGACATGTAACCACCACCATCAAAGACAAAGATCCCCCGTATAGCCTCAACAGACTGCTAGGGCAAGTGCTGCTAGCGAGCACCTATAAAGGCTGGCACGGCACATGAGGAGTGGTGGCCGGTTCAAATAATCATCACTGGTGTTGGCCGTGAGCGGGAATCGAAACCCGGGTCCGCAGGTTAGTAGCACAGCGCGCTAATCGCTACACTACCGCTCCGCACAGGCCACCACGACCACCATCACAATTGCATGACATTGTAAAGCAGTAGGTGTCTCTTTCTCTCTGCCGCTTCGTGTCTCTGGGGATTGTCTCACCCACTGTGAGTCGGCCTGTCACGTGCCCATCCGAGTTGCGTGCGTTCACCGTCACGTTCCGAGCTGAATGCATGAGCAGTGGGCTCTCCTGTACATTTGCACACACACAGAATCGGACACGTACAAGCAGAGACAATGACAAAGATCCCCTGTGAAGCCTTTCATAGGCTGCTGTTGTTGTGGCAAGTGCTCTTAGCCAGCAGACATGAAGGCCAGCATGGCACATGAGAGGATGGATGGCCAACACGGCACACGACCATCTGCCTCCCCAGCGCCGATGTTTACACACCTCACCATATACGCGTTTAAGGTTGAGTTGATATAGGGGAGGCCCAGAACCAGTTCAAATATTCGCCACTGTTCTTAGTCGTGAGCAGGAATCGAACTCAGGCCACCGGGTTCATAGCACAGTGCATTAACCATTGTGCCACCACTCCCCACAAGCAAACACACATACATATACAAGTACACACACCCGTGCCCAAGCACAGGTACACACCTGCACATATAAACACAAGCAAGCGCACACACATGGAAGTGACGGAGAGATGTACGCACACACAACAAGCGCATGCATACCCACACATGAACGCACACACACACACATGCGCACACGTGCACACCTTGCGTGAGTGTATCTCCTTGGCATACAGGGGGAGCAGGAATTCGGATTCTCCCTCGAGACGGAGGCCATCCTCGGACATTCTGAGATGGCCCATCCCATCCTGCATGTGAGACACAGAAACAGCATGGACATCTAATGTACAAGCACTAGTGCTAGTTGAGCTATTGTGTGGTCAGGTCGCTTCTCAAAAAACAATGAATAGCTCAGTGGGCTTTACCTGGTAAAAATAAAAATAGTTTAGTTTTAATATATTTGTTTGTAGTGATTTGCTTACTTTTCCGGTACTTTGCACTGCTATTTTTTTTGCATAGTTTGTTGATGTAACTTTCTGACCTGCCCCTCCTGAACATGTGTGAAAAAAAGCTTCATAGCTCATCGGATTTCCCCAGGATAAATTTGTGATGCCAGTGTTCATTGTGTCAGTGGTAATTATGGTGAGGAAGATGACGATTGTGGTGAAAATCAAGGTGAGGATGCTGTTGATGGAACAAAGCAGTTCAACTCAACTAGATTCTTACACTCATAATACACGCATCAAATTTTGCTCGTGAGAAATTCTAATTTTAAGTTCATGTATGTTGTACATAATAGCGTTGTATAATCCTTGCAACCAATAGAGGCGCTACATTCACCACAATGTAAAACATTTCATTCTTGAATCAAACTACGACAATGACTCATGATAATTTAACCATAAGGGTGGAGAAATCGTTAAATGCCGAGTTTTGATGTGAAGTGTGTTCATGACAATGGTGGTGATGTCAATGCTGACTGGTATTGATTTGCGCTATGTTGGGAACATTAATATCAGTGTTAATTATGATGGTCTTATAATGTGTTGATGACTATAATACTTTTGATTTAAAGCTTTCGTGACTGCAGGGATTCATATTCTTGGTTCTTTCAGTATTAGTCACGTAGATGGGAAACTATAAAATAATAAAAATGTTCTTGCTGTGGTTTTCACACCTGATGATGCTTGTGTTGCAGTCGAAACGTCGTGAGAATTTTATTGTTTTATATTTTATTATTATTATTTTATTGTTTCCCTTCTACGTGACTTTACCGAAAGAACCAAGAATATGACTATAATACTCTTTGGTTCTTTCGATAAAGTCACGTAGAAAGAAAATAAATTAAATTAAAGAGTACGACGTTTCGATTGCAACACAAGCAACCATCATCAGGCACAACTAAATTTGAGAGAGAAACAAAACACAGACACGGAGACACGCAGACAGACAGTCTCTCTCTGCTTGTGTGTCTGTCTGCGTGTCTCCGTGCCTGTGTTTTGTCTCTCTTTTCAAATTTAGTTATACCTGGTGACGACTGCTTGTGTTGCAATCGAAACGTCGTACTCTATTATTTAAATTATGTTCTTTTTACGCGACTTTACCGAAAGAACCAAATAATAATTCCTGCAGTCACGAAAGCTTCAAATCAAGACTATAATACTAATGGTGTTGACAATAATGCTAATGGTGTTGATAATGCTAATGGTGGTTATGCTAATGTAGTTGAAAGAGCTGATAATGTGGTCAAGGCTAGTTTCTAAATACAACTTGATCCCTTAATTATCCAACCACCAGGGAGTGCGTTTTCCCTCGTGGGAAATTGACAGTCCAAACAAAATGGTCACTTCTCAAAATGAATTGACCCTTTTGGTTTATTTGTGAATTGTTGACCCTGCTGAGACCATTAACTTGCTACACTTGAGACTGCAGTTTGATCATCTACTCAGCGGTGCTGACTCAGTTTTCTGGCCCGAGCTACCCCAACACCACCCTTCTTTATTGATGGCGCTTTTTGGTAGCTATTTGTCTTTTTAGATTGGTGATGACGATGCTAGTAACATTAATGCTGCCAATGGTGGTGATTGTGTTGATAATGTTGATATTTAATGCTGGTAATAATTGGAATGCTTGATGAAGGGGTGGAGGCCATTCACTCCCTGAATCCTCATGATCCAGGGTTGAAAATGAATGTAATAATTAATTATTTAACTTTGTGTTTAAAGGTATCATGTCTGGCTGCTGCAGGGTGACCTGAACCCATTACGTTCAACATGTAGCATCTGAAACACGTTTTTACTTACACATGCTACTTGACGTATATATCATGAATGTATCATAATAACGTGCGATCCCGAGCGATAACTGCGTTGTCGATGCCGATGGAGATGACGCTAATGGGACTGTTGTGGCCCTGCTCACCAGGTTGAAGTGCATGACGCGGAGGATCCACATGGTGAGCGCAAGGTTGACAATCAGGATAACTGTGAGCAGCAGCACCAACAGGTAGAGGCAGCGCTTGCGCCACCCGTAAACTCCCACGTGATATTCGGTTCCCCCGGGTCCATCGACCCCCCGCTGACTTGCCGCTCCGGGGAACTCATCTGCCGCCATCTGACGCACGCACACACAAAGATCACAGATTCAGCTTCATCGACTGCAAGAACAAGAGCTACTTAGTGAACACTCGTCAAGGCAGGAGTGATACAGGTGGTCGTGGTGGTGGTGGCTAACACCACACCCAGTTGCTTTTTTCTCCCCAGTACTGATGTTCACACACAGAATGCACCAGGTACTCATTTAAAGCTGGGTCAACCTCAGGAAAGCCCAGAACAGGTTCAGATACTCATTCACTGACCACAGGTTGGGAATCGTACCCATAGCATAGTGCATAGTTCATTTATTTGGTATAGCCCTGTGAGCCATTCGGCTCTTGAATCGGGTGCAACCGCAACAAACAAAAAAACATGAACAAGAAAACATCTTAAAGTGACTTTGTGACTGTGCAAACAGAAAATCCAGGAAAAAAACATCAAAAACATTCCTGAAATAGCACCGTACACCAACGCTGTGTGCAAAAAATCCCAGTGGGATGCAAGTCAAAATAACAACAACAACCACAAGAAAACTAAGATGAAGGCCATCAGTCTAACTCCGTACTACAATAAACAAAAACATGGCCAAAACAAAAAAAACGTTTTCGAAATCACCAAAATAAAAGCCATGAATGCAATGTAACAGTGATCATAGGGACTGTGACCGAATTTTTAACAACAAACTACATAAATAAATTATAACACCAAAATCTAGAGCCATATTTTAGGCCACTGAATAGCAGTGGCTGCTAGGGGTGTACAACTCCTCTAGAGCAGTTTTGAGTGAAGATCTCATAGGTAGTAATTCAAGTTGCAGTTTATTGGCAATAGCATTCCAGACCCTGGGGGCATCAATAGCAAAGGCCCTTTCTCCGGTTTTTGTACGGCAATAGGGAATGTAAAGCTGGTAGATGAGCAAAGACCTGAGGTCAAATTTGTTCTTTGAAACAGAGAGGAGATCCAGCAGGTAGTATGCGGATTATTTTGTAAGTGCATCGTGAATAAATACGATCTGGTGCACAAGCCGTCGAACATTAAGAGATGTTAAGTTTGACCCAATGTAGAGATCACAGTGGTGAGTCCTATATGGGCAGTTCAATGCAAATCTTAAGGCCCAGTGATATATGGAATCAAGCTTTTTCAGTACAGTACTTGGGGCTGATTTATACACGATGTCACAGTAGTCAAGTAGAGGCAGTATGGTAGCTTTTATCAATTCCAAACGGAACATTGGGGGGAAACAATGCTTGTGTCGCATGAAACCCCCACTCAACACCTAAGACAAAGACCTCCCCTATAACCTTAATAGACTGCTGGGGCAAGTGCTGTTAGTGAGCACCTATAAAGGCCGGCATAGCACGAGGGGGTGGGTGGCCAGCACGACGCCTGTCCACCTTTGTCTCCCTAGTGGCGATGTTTACACACCACAGCAGGTACTCCATTGAGACTAAGTCGACCTAGGGGAGGCCCAGGACCGATTCAGATAATCGTCACTGGTGTTGACCATGAACGGGAATCGAACCCGGGTTGCCAGGCGCAACACGCTAACCGCTGCACTACCGCTCCCCACTCATCACCTGACATAATATAAACATAGTAATTTACAAAAGCATATAAACAACAACCGTCGTTCACCGCTAAGTGGCAGTGACATCACCGCGGCACCTTGCAAGATGTACTTTGAGGCTGTGTGGTGTGGTGAAGTTTCCGTGATAGCAAATTAAAGGACAGGCCCAGGTGCTATCGGTTCAATTACTCTGGTTAATGACAGACGCACCAATTTCACTTCTCACTCTGCCAACTGCCTTTGGTTTAGGTGTTCGACACACTGACTCTTGTTGCAATCATGGGAAAACATTTGCACCTGCTCAAAAGAGACAAAGATTCCCTGCATAGCCAGAGACAACTGAGACAAGCAATGTTGTCAAATACCGATCACAGGCAGTGCTCGTCTTACGCACATCCGCACTTACGAAAAAGCTTCCACGAGAAGTCAATTTTTTTGAACATCAACTTGCAAACACGATCTCGCACTTGCAAACTGAACCGCAGAGCTTTTTTTGTTCAGCGGAGCAATCCTCCGCAAGATATGACTCCAGCACACCGCTGGGAATGAGTGTACGTATGTGTGTTCGTGCATGTGTATGTCAAAGTGAGTGTGTGTGTGTGCATATGCGCGCATGATCCGTGTGTGGGGAGCAGTAGTGCAATGGTTAGCGCACTGCGCTACCAACCGCGCAAACCAAGTTAGATTCCCGCTCACGACCAACACCAGTTACGATTATTTGAATTGGTTCTGGGCCTGGTGTGGTGTGTAAACATCGCCATTGGGGAGCCAAAGGCGGCCGGGCATGGCGCTGGCCACCCACCCCTTCGTGTGCCATGCCGGCATTCATAGGTGCTGCTCCTCAATAGCAATTGCCCGAACAGTCTGTTAAGGCTATACGGGGGATCGTTGTCGTTGCCGTATGTGTGTGTGTGCGAGTGACTCCGTGTTTGTGCAATTCCGACAAGCAAGCCAGCATCAGGACTCAAGGTATGTGAAAATAAAATGTATATTTTTCTTATTTGTTACTTTATTTTGTTTTATTTACTATACAGTATTTATTACAGTATTATATGCAAATGTACAATATTTATTATTATTTGTGAGTTTAACAATGCTTCCCTTTTTTGTTAAACCGTAACACATTTTATAACACCAACCGTGTGCATTTAAATACAGTGTATTACTAGCTTATATACCCGGCGTTGCCCGGGTCAAAACAATATTTAAAACCTACTCGTAAAAATCTAACAGCAGTGCGTACTGACTCTGGTGGTACCTGCTATAATTACAGCAGTGCATACCTACTGTGGTGGTACCTGCTATCACTACATTAGTACATGCTGACTCTATAGCAGTATTTATCGACTCTATAGCACAAAGTACTCACCTGACAGAGTGGCGTGGTAAGGCCTAGTACCGTGCAGAGCCTCTGGCCTCGCCTAGATTGTCCAGCCGGCCGAGGTGGCACCTTGGCAGGCTGGGGCTGGGCTGCTACCCCCCCCCGCCCCAGCTACGATCTCCCCGGTCGCTCTGCAGTAATATCTATGGCCTATCGTGGTAACATCTACCGACTGTATAGTAGTAACTGCAAGCATCGGGGTGGGGGGAACATCACACAGTGAATAATTTACCTGAGCGTTTAGTGTATCTTTAGCATTTTTTACGCGAAAGAAAGTCCCCCTCACTCCCACCAAAGGCGTGCGACTTGGTATGGACCGTCCCCCCCACCAACGGCGCGTGAGTTGGTATGGTCGTGCATGCCTCATAAATAATTAAATAAAAAGAAAGCGCACAGAAATCGCACAAAATCGCTAATTAAACTCATTAAAAGTTGAGGGATGTGAAAAAGGAATAGCGCTTGCTCACGGCGTGGCTTACGGCGTGGTACCTGGCTATTTTTATTTTACGTAAACCCTCACCGTTGGAGAGCCAAATCCTTCGCAAGCGCGCGAACACACAAACCCACAATTTTTGACTTTTATATATATTGAAGATTGTGTTCCGACTTACGAACCGTTCGACGTACGAACGGTCTCAGGAATGACATCCGTTCGAAGTCGAGGGCTGCCCGTACACACACAGACATAACAATGTACACTAGGCAAGTGTTATTTGCAAAACATTGCTCATATAAGGGCGAGATGACCTCAGAGATGCACAAGCCTATTCTGCATCCATCTCCTACTGATGAGCATGAACAGGCATTGAACCCGAGTCAACAGGATTCGTAGTCCAGTGCAATAACTGCAATATCATTGCCAATTTATACATACACACTGTATGCGCTGTGGGAACAGTGGGAGCGAGTCTAGTGTATTTGTGTCTCCATGTGTCACTTCATGAGAGGATCAATGTCGCCCTTTAAATAGAGCTCCCCGTTAGCCAACAGGCACTCGCACATTCTCACAACAACAGACTGGGACGACTTCAAAAGGTCCGTCGTTTATCTTTACAGAACAAGAACAGGAGCTATTCGTGAGCACCGACTAATGCCGGCACAGTGCACGAGTGAGCGGCGTTGTCAGAACCATTCCAGACTGCCGTTTATTTGCCCAGCGCCACGTTCACACATCACACCAAGTACAGTAAACCCTCGCTCTAAGCGAGTTGTGCATCCGCGAGTTTCGCGTATACGCCAGTTTCAGTATTCAAGAGTGTAGGTGCCAGACCAGGGTTGCGCGCAGAGTTTTACATCTGCGAAGATTGGCAACGCACCCTCGGCTAACCCGCTTTGTCCTCGGGTCTCGCAGTAACCCTGGTCTGAACTCGCTATTGTGCATTTTTACTTGATACATACAGTCAATTCGTTGACACGTTTTGGTATAAACGAGTGGACTGCGAGGTTCCACTAAAAAGGGACGCGAATTAATGTGCGTTATCAAACACCTGCATCTCCCGAGAAGTCATCCTCTTGAATTCCTCACCATCACCACCACCTCCATTGTCAAATAATCATCATCAAAAGTGACAAAAAAAACACATTACTCTTTATAATGTATTTATTTAATTATTATAGCAATTGTTATTAAACATTTACCATTTCCCCCCATATATTCATTCGTAGAGAAACTTAACCCCGTTTTCCCCATCGGAACAAGGTTTCTGCATTCGCGAGCTTTTTCAAGAACGTAACCCTCGCGAATGGAGAGTGTTTAGTGTACTCGTCAAATGGCGAGTCAACCTAAGAAGCGCCCCAGCTGATGTCCACATATACCACTTGTCGCTTGTGTTATTCTCAACCAAGATTCAAACCCAGGTCATCACACGCACATGCAGGCACATGTACAAGGGGGATGTAGACGTGAAACCATGACAAAAATAACCTTAGTAAGTACATCCTGGGCAAGTATTTCATTCAACTCACAGAGCAAATAGCTTCAATGTACAAAGGTCATTACAGCCAACACCTCATCATCATCACCTTCTAATACATCTCAATTGCAGTCGACACCAAACCTCTGAGATTTGCTCTTACGGTATAGCTCAAATTCGTGATTTAGGTCTAATCTTTGGTTGCCAATCCACTCCGATGCCTGTTGTGGTATAACCCGCTCTCTTCCATCCTGTATATGTATCCCAGCCATCACAACCTCTTCTTCCTAGTTTCATTATAATACTTTCTTGGTTGTTCCAATTCAAATTTTTCAAGCTACTTACCCTATCTTTCCGTATCTTTCTGTGAGATTCCAATCGTGTACACGTGCATTCAAACTAAGCTATGTATATTGTGCGAGAATTGTAAGCATGCATGCGAGTTGCGTGTACGCACGAAAGCATTTTCCATGTGTCAGGTGTCTATGCGAGCCATTGTTAAGACTGTGGACAAAATTATGATACGCGAGTTGAGTGTTTATATGTAACACGAGTTACGCGTGCATTGGTGTGCGTGTACGAGTTGTACGTGAGCTAGCACCGTTATACTATATGCGCAAGAGGTTATACTTTGTGTGATTTACGTGCATCTCTCCCCCGGCTTGTGTAATGCGAGCTGTGCGTGCAAGCGTGTGCATGCGAGAGTTAAGGGTTGCGTATGTGCGGGTGTCTCTAAGCCGCGAGTTCTATTTTGGGCAGGCGAGCTTTACGTTTTATAATTGGGTTCCTTATCCCTCGACAAAAAGGCATCTGATTATTTATTTAAATTCATGATACAGTTTAAATTCATATTCTTTAAATCTTTAATGCCATCTGTCACCAGCGGGACGTACTTTCAAGTCCACGCCTGAGCGTGACGTTTATCTGAGCTGTGATGAGTGCTTGAGTGTATTACCATGTGTTGTGTGTGTATGTCTGTCTATTACAATGCATTGTGTGAATGGCAGAATGTGTCGCTGCGTGTCATTGTGGGGGGTTTGTTTTTGCGCAGGTCTGTGTGCATTAAAATGTGTGTACACGAGCATGCGTGTAAATCCGTGTTTGTCTACAGAAAATCGGAGTGTATGTTATTGTGTTCTTGTATATACATTTATGTTTACAAAACGTTACGTTTGCGTACAAGTCACGGTGTGTGTACACATGTGTGCATAAGGCATTGGGTTCAAGGGTATATAAGTACCGTATACGATTTTGTGTGCATAAACGTGGTCATGTTTGAACAAGTGTAAATGCACAGTATCATGAGTTTCAATGGATATGTATGAAACAGCAATCTGCATTTCAGTCTGCACATAGATATGCATGTGTACCATCAGTGTGCACTTGATGAGTTAGTTGTTCATAGACATGCATGTGTGTGAACCATTGTACACGTATCACTAGTGTTCTATTTCCATGAGTCAACGTGTGTATGCAAGTCTGCAATTGTGTACAAATGATCACTGTACGCATGCTGCCATATGGCGACAATACTAAAGTATATCATGTAAAAGAAGGTTCATGGCAATTGTATCATCCGTTTTGCTAAATTGTTGTTCATGTTATTGTTTAAATACCTTATTTCGTGACATATCAACTAACTAAAACGATTCGAAATAGCCAAATGACAATTTCAACATTCTTGCTTGCCTGCATGAGTGTTTAAAAATAAGCCTGGGCTACAGCAGAGACGTCCCTAATTATTTATTAAATTTTTACACGACTGCCGCCAAGTATATTCTATATAAGCATTGTAGATAAGAACTTGCAATGCTTAGAATACATATAGCAGCTTATGTTCAGCAAAATGTATTCGAACTGGAAGTACAGCAAAGGGTAAATACTATATAATCGAAATGTGACGTACAGCTACAGAGTATGAAACATTGATAATTCGATAATTGTCATGTCGTGAAAATATATATATCGTGCCATGAAAAATATATACCGGCCACTCTAGTGATCGGTAGTTTGTTTATGTATGCGATACTGTATGCATATATGTGTGTGCATGTTTAATGCGTGTGTAAATGCCAGAGTGTAATAATGACAGATCCCCCTAGATGCAGTGAAGGTCGGTATGGGACCAAACAGCCTAGAGGCATCAGCATGGCAGTGGTGTATACCTTACATACACTTTGCCTGCATGTGTGTGTCTGCGTGTGTGTCTGCGTCTTTGTATGGGTGCAGTAACACACATCACTTTCCTACCTTGTGTCTAACGGTGCTCCGTGCTCTCTGCTCACCAAGTGCTGTGGAGTGGATAAGTATTTTCTGGTTGGGGGGGGGAGGTACAGGGCTCTAATGACAGGAGTTATTAATATCACGGCAGGAGAGTGAGCAAGCGACAAGTGAACGCAGCCAATGTGAGCTGCGAGTAAGAGTAGAGGGCAGCGTCTCTCGACTAATCGTGAAATTGATTAAAATCTCGGCAGCGCTCCAATTGATTCACTGAATGGTCGCAAAAAGTGCCGTGTCAAATTTAGGGGCATTTCATTAACAACGCACGTTGTTTTTGGGATTTGTAGAATTATTATATATGATTGTGTGGATTTGGCTTACATATTGAGAGCCAAGCTAAGGCACCCTACGTTGATGAGGGTTTTGCATGACAGAAAGAGAGATGTGTACCATACAAAGACCCACCGTATAGACGATTGGAGCAAGTTCAGTCAGCGATCACCAATTATGTAGGCCAGAGCATAAGTGACTGGCGTGGCGAGGACGCCTGAATGCCTTTCGTCTCTGCAGTTGCTGATATTTATACATGACACCAGATACACATTTAAGGCCAAGTCGATGGAAGGGAGTCCAAGGCAGGGCTGACGGATTGTGTTGGTAAAGATAAATTACACCTCTGGACAAAAAGGCCAAAAGCGCCCAATTTGCCAAAGTCGAGCAAAACAATAATCACACATTTGTTTTCAAGCTTTTTTTTTCTGAATATTTCACAGCAGCTTATGCAACCCCTCATCCTCCAAATTGTGCACAAAACCTTGCCATCTGACAGCCCAGGGCCCAGCACAGGATCAGACACCGCTTTCGACTGATGTCAGCAGGAGCCAAAAATCACTCCGATCACCAGCTTCACAGTGCAATACACCCACTACTACACCAATGTTCAGAAGAACACACAAACACATACAGTGCATATACATAAAGATCCCCTGTATAGCCTTACAGACTATTCTTTGGGTCTTTTGGTAAAGTCACGGAGATAGGTTCAAAGAAAATAACAAAAAATAACAAAAAACTACGACGTTTCGATCACAACACAAAGCACTTAAGGCTGGAAAGGCGCACAAATGAGTGACATGATGGGCACCACGCCGGACCTCCTTTATCCCCTTGGTGCTGAAGCATACCCACCACATCACGTACTCATTTAAGGCCGAATCAACATAGGAGAAGCCAGGGTTGGTTCAGGTATTATGGTTGTTATTGCTTGACTTGCATCATACTGCGATTTTTGCAGACAGCATTGATATACGGTGCTTTTTCTGGAAGAATTTGCTGTTTTTTCCTGGATTTTTCTGTTGCGCGTAGTCACTTTAAGATGTTTCTTGTTCATGTTTTTGTTTGTTGCGGTTGCACCCGATTCAAGAGCCAAATGGCTCACAGGGCTATACCTACAGTGAGGGAAACAAGTATTTGATCCCCAGATGATTTTGTATGTTTGCCCACTGACAAAGAAATTATCAGTCTATAATTTTAATGGTAGGTTTATTTGAACAGTGAGAGACAGAATAACAACAACAAAAATCCTGAAAAACGCATGTCAAAAATGTTATAAATTGATTTGCATTTTAATGAGGGAAATAAGTATTTCACCCCCTCTCAATCAGAAAGATTTCTGGCTCCCAAGTGTCTTTTATACAGGTAACGAGCTGAGATTAGGAGCACACTCTTAAAGTCAGTGCTCCTAATCTCAGCTTGTTACCTGTATAAAAGACACCTGTCCACAGAAGCAATCAATCAATCAGATTTCAAACTCTCCACCATGGCCAAGACCAAAGAGCTCTCCAAGGATGTCAGGGACAAGATTGTAGACCTACACAAAGCTGGAATGGGCTACAAGACCATTGCCAAGCAGCTTGCCGAGAAGGTGACAACATATTCTTAGTTCTTTCGGTAAAGTCACGTTGAAGGGAAACAATAATGCAAACCGACACACCTGATGACGACCGTTTGTGTTATGGTTGAAACGTCGTGAGAATTTTTATTGTTTTATATATATTTTATTGTTTCCCTTCAACGTGACTTTACCGAAAGAACTAAGAATAAGGTGACAACAGTTGGTGCGATTATTCGCAAATGGAAGAAACACAAAAGAACTGTCAATCTCCCTCAGCCTGGGGCTCTATGCAAGATCTCACCTCGTGGAGTTGCAATGATCATGAGAACGGTGAGGAATCAGCCCAGAACTACACGGGAGGATCTTGTCAATGATCTCAAGGCAGCTGGGACCATAGTCACCAAGAAAACAATTGGTAACACACTACGCCGTGAAGGACTGAAATCCTGCAGCGCCCGCAAGGTCCCCCTGCTCAAGAAAGCCCATAAGTTTGCCAATGAACATCTGAATGATTCAGAGGACAACTGGGTGAAAGTGTTGTGGTCAGATGAGACCAAAATGGAGCTTTTTGGCATCAACTAAACTCGCGTGTTTGGAGAAGGAGGAATGCTGCCTATGACCCCAAGAACACCATCCCCACAGTCAAACATGGAGGTGGAAACATTATGCTTTGGGGGATTTTTCTGCTAAGGGGACAGGACAACTTCACCGCATCAAAGGGACGATGGACGGGGCCATGTACCGTCAAATCTTGGGTGAGAACCTCCTTCCCTCAGCCAGGGCATTGAAAATGGGTCGTGGATGGGTATTCCAGCACGACAATGACCCAAAACACACGGCCAAGGCAACAAAGGAGTGGCTCAAGAAGAAGCACATTAAGGTCCTGGAGTGGCCTAGCCAGTCTCCAGACCTTAATCCCATAGAAAATTTGTGGAGGGAGCTGAAGGTTCGAGTTGCCAAACGTCAGCCTCGAAACCTTAATGGCTTGGAGAAGATCTGCAAAGAGGAGTAGGACAAAATCCCTCCTGAGATGTGTGCAAACCTGGTGGCCAACTACAAGAAACGTCTGACCTCTGTGATTGCCAACAAGGGTTTTGCCACCAAGTACTAAGTCATGTTTTGCAGAGGGGTAAAATACTTAATGCCCTCATTGATATGCAAATAAATTTATAACATTTTTGACATGCGTTTTTCTGGATTTTGTTGTTGTTATTCTGTCTCTCACTGTTCAAATAAACCTACCATTAAAATTATAGACTGATCATTTCTTTGTCAGTAGGCAAACGTACAAAATCAGCAGGGGATCAAATACTTATTTCCCTCACTGTAATAAATGAACTGAAACTGAACTGAACCAATGTTAGCTGTGGTCAGAAATCGAACTCATGTCTCCAGGTTCAAAATGTAATGTGATAAGCACAACACCACTGTTTCCTACACGTAAAAAGACCAACAATCCCCTGTATAGCCTACACAGGCTTCTAGATAAGTGCTGTTAGCAAGCATTTATGAATGTCAACATGGCACACAAATTAGTGGTATGACAGCACCTCATCTATCTCCCTTGAGTTAATGCTGACATACAACACCAGGTCCTAATTTAAAGCTGAGTCGCCCTAGGAGAGGCCCAGGTAATGCATAGGATGAGAGTTCCGTATCAGATGAGACAAGGGTCATATATCCCGAGTCAACTTTAATATGCAACTAAAATAACAGTTTTAGTGAATGTGTATGTTCATCTCTATATGCGATCCTGCATTAGTGGTGGAAAACCCACATGCCACTTTGCAGAAAGTACATAGTTGTGTGTTTATATATGTTATAGTCCCTGTCATATGAATGAAGTTTCCATCAATGCATCAGGCCTGCCAACAGGGATGGGCACCTCCCAAAATCCACATGAGTATTGGGGGCGAACGGTGACTTTGACCAAGCATTTTAAACAGTGCATCCATTTGTTACACTGAAGCAGCAATTGGTGTTCAATATATACACACTAATGCTGCAATTCGTTCGTGTTAAAAACGTTTGAAAATGGGGCTTGGGTTATAGCTGCGGTTCAAGCTCGGGATAAGGTGGGGGTAGTATAAGTGCTCGAGTTAGAGGTGTGACGATTGTGTTCATTCATTTCCTCATATTCACTCAGATTCACATGCGTTGCATATTCTTCAATACGCAAATGTTTAAATAGGCATATGTTGCAATTGGTTCACTAGTGACTACTAAATTACAAACAAACTAATCCTTAAATGGAATCGCAACTCTGAATTATGACAACTCATTGAATCGCCACCTCTATTTATTAACATTTTAGTTTTTTATGAATATTAGAGCTGGAGCTTATTCATAATAAAGGTTTTTGGGTTAGATCGCGTTTATTATTATGAATAATATTGGTCGCGAAAGCCTACGTGTTAAACTGAGCTGGAGCTTATGTTTGTGGTAGGATTAAGCTTTCAGATAAGGTTAGGGCTAAGGTTAGGACAAGTGTTCATATCCAGGCGATAGCTAATGGGTATGTTGGAGATTGGGTTAATGCTAGTGCCAGGACAATGGTTAAAGATCTTGTCCTTACACATCGAGGCTGTGTCCCTGGCACATGACGTGATTTTGAAACTCTTAACGTGGGAAGAAAAAAAGACTTGTAAATCACAGCGAGGCACTTCGTCATAGCACTCTGGTGACAGCATCACATTGATATTGTATTAAAAAGTATGGGAGTGATGTAACAGTGACATCGTTAAAGTGCAATAATGGAACATCTGACTATGCCAATTAAGTATATATATTTGTATGATTAATGAACCTTCAAACTCATTGTCCAACAGCCTGGGCCACACAGCTCAGGTTAATATTGGTCCTAGTATACGTGTTAAAGTCAAGCCTGGCTTTAAACTAGGGTTAAGGCTACAGTTCAGGACTGGGTTTGAGCAAAGGTGAAGGGTAGGGTTAAGAGCCTGGGTTAAGTATAGATTTTTCCTCGGGTTTGTGCGAGGGTTAAGGCGAGGGTTCGGGTCTGCACTTCAAAGTAACGCCATTATCGCTCGTTTCCGACTCCTCGTAATTCAGCAACGGAGTGCAGTCGTTTAAGTGTTGTGCTCTCCGCGGCTCCGTCTAAGTGTGTTTGAGTGACTAACGCTCACGCGATCAATGACTTCTTGCTTGTTACCACAGTCGGGGAAGAGACATTGGCCAGGCTCTTAAAAGGCTCCCATTCTCACCCCACAATCCTTAAAGTATAAGTTTGAGTCCCTGCTTAGGCTGTTGATCACATACATACATATGAGTGCTAATTTGAATGAAGGCTTTTAGCATTTCACCTGGGTGAGAAGTGTGAGAGAATAAATATACTTTGTGTATGTGTGTTTATGTGTTCGAATGTGTAGCGGTTAGCGTACTGCACTATGAACCTGGCGCCCCGAGTTCGATTCCCACTCACGGTCAACACCAGTGGCGATTATCAGAACTAATTCTGGGCCTCCCCTAGGTCGACTCAGACTTAAATGAGTACCTACTACAGTGTGTAACCATCGTGACGAGGAGACAAAGGCGGCCAGGCGTGGTGCTGGCAACCCACCCCCCCCCCCCTTGTGTGCCTGCCAGCCTCCATAGGTGCTAAAAGCACTTGCCCCTACAGTCTGCTAAAGCTACACGTGGCATCTTTGTCTTTGAATGTGAAGTTAGATTAGTTTGTGGACACATTCCCACTCGTAAGCTCCTCCAGCAGGCAAGGCTGCCTTGGCTGGGTCATGTAGCCCGCATACCCAGCCACCGCATGCTCAAGCAGCTTCTGTTTGGCCAAATAGAGGGGGCTAAACGGGCATGGCACAGGCTGCAGAAGAGATGGACTGATGCGGTACAGGAGGATGTAGAGCTGAGCGGACTTGTTGAAGACTGGTACCAGAGGTGTCAAGGTCGGCCTCTATGGAGGAGGCTCGTGAAGGATGCTCCTGGGCAGTTGGTAGCAGGCGCCCTCCAACAAAAGCGGAGGGCAGAGCAGCAACGCTCACAACAAAGAGCAGAGCACAGGGCAGCTAAAATATAGCAGGCGGCACAGGTGGTGCATCTGTCAGTCACCTCAGTCAGTCAGTCAACTCATGGCACCTGGGTCTGTTCCCTGACCTTCTGTCAACGAGCCTTTGACACTTCACGTGGCCTCAGAGTGCACCTGACCTGGTGATGTCATCACCACTTCGTGTGGAATGGCGGTTGTTGTTGTTGAATGTGTCTGCAAGTGTGTGCATTTGTCTCTTAGAGAGTTGTGTGGGTGTCCATGTACATGTCTGTGAGCGTGTGCCTGGCACCTGGGTCTGTTCTGTGACCTCCTTTCAGCGAGCCATCAACACTTCAGGTGGCCTCAAGGTGCACCTAGCTTGGCACAAGCGCCGTGGTGACGTCACCACCACTTCATGGTGAACAGCGATTTAAGTTGTGTATGAAAGAGAGTGTGT